TCTATTTACAGCCTCCCAAGAACTGGGATTACAGGTGTGTGCCAACACACCCAGTCTCAGTTGCCATTTCAGCGTGTCTCCGGGGGTGGGGCCAGCATGGCAGGCCGGAGGATCGAAACCCTGGCCCCTGCACCTGCTTGCAGGTGCTTTAATCTGCTGAGCTATTTGGCTGGCCCTTGCTTTTTCTTTAAATTTTGTTTGAGGCCTCTAACAATCTTAAAATATGTGTGACTCTTCATAACCACTACCTAATGTTCTTTCGTATAAATACAACATCTTATTTTCATATTCTGTCATTGATAGGAATTGGTCTTTACTTGCTATTTCAATATGATATCCAGGGATCAATGTAGTAATTGTTTCCTCATAAAAATAAGACATCTATATGCACACAAAACCAAAGCTAGCATATCATGTAAGGCACATGATTTTTTGGGGGGCGGGCTTGGGGAGATGTAGGGCAAAGGGTAGGGCACAGCATGAGTAAGCTTAGATATCTGCTAATGGGCAACATGAGGATTCTAACAGGTAATACTACATCATATTCCGGGAATACTAAGAATAAGTAGATTTTAGGTGTGCTTGTCACACAGAACAAAAAGGTAGGGGCTGGGGAGGTAGCTCAGTAGAATAAGTGCTTGCCTGGCAAGTGCAGGGTCCTGAGTTCAACCCTCAGTATCACAAAAAAAAAAGAAAAAAGAAAAAAAAAAAAGAAAAAGTAACTATGTGAGGTAAAGCACATGTTAATTTGTTTGATGTCATAATTATTTTACCATATATGTACACACAAAAACATGTACATCTTAAATGTATACAATAATGAAAAACCAAACTCTGGAATTAAGGAAAAGAACTGGAAAATTTTGGCTCAGAGGTCTTTAGAAGTAAAAATATGAAAGATTATCGCTACCTTTTAGCCAGCTAGAGCAGTTATCACTAATATCTCCACTGCGGACAAAGAGCAAAACATCAAGTTCCAATGCTCTCCTATGTTTGTCGCAGTGGAGATCCACAAGAGCCAAGATACAGAGTCAATACGTTAGAAAATGTAGTCAAGCTATAAAATGGAACATTATTTAGTTCTGATTTAATTAATTAATTAATTAATTAAGTTTTTGGTACTAGGGATTGAACTCAGGACCCTGCACTCACCAGGCAAGCACTTATTCTACTGAGTAACTAGATCTGAATATGTAAGTGCTCCTATCTGTACAGCCTTTGAAAGATGAACTGTTCATAAGGCAGCATCCCCATGAATAAGATTGATGCTCTAATAAAAGTTTCTTCAGAGAGCTCTTGTAGCTCCGAAGCTATCTCCAGCTTTCTCCCTGGCCCTACTCAGTCTTTAAAAGGAAGGAAATATTGTCATTTATGCCAAATACATAAAACTTGAAACTTGTGTTATGTGGCTAGTGCAGACAAATACTGCATAACATCATTTATATGTAGAATATTAGAAAGTTGAACTCATATGAGTAGAGAGTAGAGTGCGGGTCAGCAGGGGATGCAGGGTCCAGGCCTTCGGAAGACGATAGTGAAAAGAGACAAAGCGGCAGCTCGATTGGAGGAACGAGTTCAAAATGCCTGTCATGCAGTGCTTCTGTATTTTGAAAATTGCTGAGTCCCATGTGCTTCAGCACAAAAAAGTGATGTGTGAAGGCACACACAGCAACTGGCCTGAGACATACTGCAAATGGGTACATATTTTGAAACATTATGCTGCACATGATAAATACATGGGAATCTTAGTTGGCAAATTTATGTCACCAAGACAAACTATGATAATAGTGTTAATAATAATATGGCAGGAGGTGCCAACGGGCCTGTGTGTAACGCATGCAGTTCTCTGGTCGGCTGACTTCATCACAGCATTGTGCTGGGTTTGGGTTCACCAGTCAGGGAGGTTTCTATCTATCTGATGCTACAGAGTTAGAAAATACTATTTTGTTCTTGAAAAAACAAAGCTTACTTGTTTCTTGATCATCCGTGGAAATAATACGATCTTCGTAGACCTGATAAAAGGTTGTGATTCTGGTACCATCAGCATGGTCCACTATCCGAGTACCATCTTTCTTTTGAACAATGACTACTTTGTCTTCTCGAGTTGTCATAACCTGAACAGATTAAAGCAGCACGTAAGCACTGGGCTAGGTAGTTAACCCGGCGGATTTATGTTCATGCCCTGTTGAAAATGAAGAAGCACTGTCACAATTCTAGATTTTTACAAGTGAAAGTTTTACCTATCTAGTCTATCCTTTTCTGTAACTGTTGAGGCAGGCAGTACCTCTATTTTATAGATGAGGAAATTTACTTTCTTTCTCTGTCTCTGTCTCTGTCTCTCTGTCTCTTTGTCTCTGTCTGTCTCTCTGTCTTTCTGTCTCTCTGTCTCTGTCTCTGTCTGTCTCTCTGTCTCTGTCTCTGTCTCTCTCCCTCTCTGTCTCTGTCTGTCTGTCTCTCTCTCTCTCTGTCTTTCTCATCCACGGTCTTACTACGCAGTTCCAACTCAGCGATCCTCTTGTCTCAGCCTCCCCAGCACTAGGATTACAGGCATGCACCATCATGCTTGGTTTTGGGGCTGGCATGGTGTGCCCAGGGTTCTGGGGCCAGCATGGTATGCAGGTCCAGGGATCAAACTTGGGTCTTTGTGTTTGTTAGGCAGGTACATAGACTGCTAAGCTAGCTCCCCAGCACTAGATGAGAAAATTTAAATTTATAAAAATTAAGAAATTTGCTCCAAGTCATCTGAGTAAGTTGCAGGGCCTCTTTGTGAAGAAAGCGTCATTGCACCTGGAGTGATGTAGGTCTGTTTTGGAAACTGCTCAGAGCTCCTGTTTTCTTGGAAGCTACAGTCAAGATAACTGTGGTGCAGCTGTGCTGTTTTTTGTGTTGTGAAAACCCTGCTCTGTACTGGGTGGGACAAAGTGCAAGTTGAGTTGGCTGCAGGTGCTATGCTCCAGGTCACCAGAGCACAATCAGAGAGGTTTTTTTTTTTTTTTTTTTTAATGTATTTGATGCAGTGTCTTACTATGCAGCCCAGACTTGAAGTCATCCTCCCGCTTCCAGCCTCCCCAGCACTGGGATTATAAGCATGCGCCACCATGGCCAGTTTTGGTGGCTGACTCAGTGTACTTAGGGGTGGGGCCAGCATGGATGATGGTGCCAGGGATTGAACCCCAGTCCCTGGGCTTGTGTAAGCAGGTTCTTAGTCCACTGTGCTGTCTCCCCTGCCCATAACGATCAGATTGCTGAGGGATTCCAAGTGCAGCTCTTCTGTGTCAAGTTGGTCTGAATACAAAGCGCTCCTATCTACAGAGCCTTGGAAAGATGAACTGTTCATATGGCAGCAGTCTCATGAATAAGACGGGTGCTTTTATAAAGGGTTCTTCAGAGAGCTCTTGTATTCTCTTTCCACCATGTGAGGGCACAATAAGAAAATGCAGTAGTTGGCAACTTCCAAACAGCAGACAATGATGGGTCATGCACATCTCCACCTTGCAGCCTCCTGATGGCCAGACACAAGCATGTGCTTTTACAGGACGCTTCGTTACAGCAGTCTGAATGGACTGAGACACTGATGAAATTTGAAACTCCTAGGGGCATATGTGGGTTTTTTTTTCCATATGTGTGTTTGCATGTGTCCATATTTAGGTGGGTGCACACACAGGACCCCCTTGGAGAAAAGGTTCCTCTTGAGCTCCAGGAGTGCCATCAATGGAAAGCCACCCATTCTCAGCTCTTTCAGTGTTGCCTCAGCAGAAGAGAGACGCCTTGCCCAGCTTGCATCCTTTCTGGGAGCTGCATCAAGAGACTGAATGAAGTAGTGATAGGTGAGATGGTCACTTGTCCCAGCCTCAGGACACCTGAACAAGTGAAACTTGCTCCTGTAATCTCTGTAGGTTACTTGCAGCTTTGTTACATTTGTGCGACAATGCAGCCTTCTCCAGACCCCACTCCTGCCTCCTGGCCATCCTCACTCACTTGGTATGAGATAAGCATTTCATACTCTAAATTCTACCTCACATCTGAAAAGCCCAACCTCAACTATGATGGTGTCAGGTATATGACATATGTCAGTCATTGGGTATTTTCTAGATTTGCACTCTCCTCTGAGGAACACAACTGTAAGGAGCATTTGTTGTTCAGGAGTCTACACGAGAGAATGAATTCAGTAGCTACTCTTGGACTCAACTCTCTAGAGCTATTGGGAAGAGTTTCATGGTAGACAGAAATCACTAAGAGAGAAAGGCATGCGGAGTGTTAATTTAGGTTTCTGTTGCTGGCATTCTAAGATAGCAACTGATGTTGAAAAATATTGCTGTGTGATGTGGTACTTTGAAAGCATGAACTCTGGAGTTAGTGGTATGAGTTCAAATTCTGACCCATGCGTGGTAGGGTGAGTTAGGCACTCTGCTAACCTTTTTGTCCTCCACTCTCCTCATCTGCAAAAACAGTTCCAACACTATTATTTTCTTAGGAACATTGTGTGAATTAAAAGAGATGATGCTGGTAAAATGGTTCACACTGAGTTAGCCATCGTGTTAGCAGCTTTTAAAAGTAGCTCTTCCAACCATTGTTGAATTCCTGCCATTTGTTTATTGAAATTTTGTACTGTTTCTAATGCTCATTTTTAAAAAATCACTATTTTTTATTCTCTAATTTTTTTAAACCTTGAATAATAATAATTTGAACATTTCAGAATGTCACGTCACGTTGACATTTCCTGGTCACCATAGTGTGGGATTAATGTCATCGTGATTCATGCTGGTAATAATGCAGTAACAAGGACAATTTAGTTATTTGATAGTGTTAGGTATTAGTTGTCCCAAGGTAACGACTCTTGAGATTATGAATGAGGAACCCAGGTGAGCAAATTGTCCAGAATCATGCACCTCCTGAGAACCATGGTTGCGGCTGTTAGCTTAGCCTCACCCCAAAGCCATATGCTGTCCTCTAAAACATGATTAGGTCAGGAGTTGGGAAAAATGCATTATTTCAATTTTGTTTTCTGTGACCATGTCAGTTTCTGGTGCACTGAAGTTCTTTACTTGCTGCGTGATCTTGGACAAGTTCCTTAGGTTGCTTAACTTAGTTGCCTCATCTGTGAAATGGAAACAACAGTATTTGGGTAGAACTGGAGTTAATATATGGAAAGGGCAGAGAACACAGCTTGCTATGTATGGTGAGTGCTCAGCAGTATTAACGCTTCTGCTGTGATTCTGTTAGATGTTTGTGTTTAATTCAAGCTTGAATCCAGGCTCATGGATGTTGGATCATGCGTCAATAATGGAGACAGGGATCAGTGAGATATTAAAATTTTAACTAAGATTAATTGGATAACTAAGTGTGGTGAAATTTGACTTTCATTAACAAATAATCTACCCTAGGGCTATTATTTTAATTCTCCATTTAGTGTAGTGGGGATTACACTCAGGGCCATTTTCAGTGAGCTAAATCCCTCGCCCTTTTAAAATTTGGAGGCAGTATTTTGCCAAGTCATTAAGTTGCCTGGGCTAGGCACAATCTTGTGATCTTCTTTCTTGGGGCTTCTGGAGTGCTGAGATTACAAGGGCGGGCCATGACACTCAGTTTCTTTCTTTCTTTTTTTTTTCTTTGTGGTACAAGGGATTAAACTCAGGACCTTGTGCTTGCTAGGCAAGCACTTATTCCACTGAGCTATCTCCCTGGTCCCGAAGTTGAGATGACTATTTTATTTATTTATTTTTTTGGCTGGCTCAGGATGCCTTAAAGACAGGCCTGGTAAGGCATAAGGATCTGGGTGTCCTGCACCTGACTGCATTTGCATAAGCAGTCACTTAAACAGCCGGTTAAATGGCAGGACCCCTACATTCAGTTTCTAGGGGTGAATTTACTCAAGTTTTATGAAGTAACACAAACAAATGGAAAACCAGAATAACTCAACAAACAAACAAAAATCTTTCCTGAGATGATTATGTACTTTGCATATTAATTAAAAAACACACAAGGTCAGCCAGATGGTTCAGCGGACTAAAGTGCCTGCTTAGGCAGAGGGCAATGGGCAGGTCTGATCCCTGGCACCACAAGCCGTGCCGACTCCATCCCCAGGACACACTGAGATGGCAATTGAGACTGGGCGTGGTGGTGCCCACCTGCAATCCCAGTGCTTGGGAGATTGGAAACAGGAGGAGAATCACTATGAGTCTGATCTACGTAGTGAGACCCTGTAGACCCTGTAGTAAATACATTAAATAAAAATACACAGCAACTAGAAAATGAAATAAGTGATTATTAAATTATTTTAGCATTAGACTGAAGAAGAAAGGACAATGTGTTTGGTTAGATAATGTAATTTATCTCCACTGCAAGAAAGCATTTTGCTTTTTCCACCAGTGTAGGGCTGTACACAGAAATGAAGCGCCTAGGAAGTTCTTCATTTTGATTCAATTGAGAGGGTGGTGTCAAAAACACTGGAGAGTGGAAAGGCCCTAGTTCTTAGTCACAAATGACTGACTTCAGCCCTAACTCAGCGCTTCCCACATGTGGACTCCTGGCCACGCGGTAGAGACCTGCTGAGGCTCCATTTTGTCATCTGAGGAATAATGCACATTTGGTGTGAGCGAACAGGAAATGCATGTGAAACCCCTAAAAGAAAGCCTGCCACGAGGAAGGTGCTGTTGCCAATTCTAGAAGTTGTGATTTCCTATCAGAAATAAGCCATCATTTTCTATACCACCCATTTATCACTTATTCTTAGGGCACAAAGGAAACCTTTCACATGGTTGCTCTTTGATGTTAAATTCTTGAGTTATTCAGTGTGAGCATGTCTGATACGTACCACAGGTTCTTGAAATCAAAGATCCTGAGTAAATCTCTCTCATTCAAGGGAGGTAGGCATGAAGAAGAATAAGGCACATATCTTTTCACTTCCAGAAGATAAGACATATATACAGAAGGATAACATGTGAATTAATTAATCACATGCATCTTAAAATGGCATAGAAAATACATGACCTACCTCTCACTTTGAAATTTGTTTCTACTGGTTGTGCATGCACAAACAGACACACAGAGAATTAATATTTTCATGACAGTGCTTTTGTCAAATACACAATACTTATACTTTTAGATTTAGCAGGCTGGGGTCATCCATCCATCCATCCATCCATCCATCCATCCATCCATCCATCCATTATTTAACAAATATTCACTTAAAATATGGCTATTTGACAGACATACTTCTACATGTTGTTTCAGGATTCTAATGGTTTAGACAACTATAGACAATATCTAATATTCTGCCATACCGTTCCATTGATAGGATCTGTGGCTTTAAAGGATAACAGAGGGGCCAAATCTGCTATTTTTTCCAATCCTTTGGTGCCAATCCGATTCCCTTGAGGTGCGGTTGTAAACCAGGTGCCTACGTGAGCCTCCACGGGAGTCTGCACTACCTCTGGAGTGGCTTCATGGGTTTCACTCTTATGTGTCATCAACAATTGATTTTTGTGACTTCGTGCTGCAGAAGGCAAAAATCAAATGAAATAGTATAATTATATATATATATATATATATATATATAGTTATGTGTTTATATTTCACTAAGTTTTCATGCAGTGTAAATGTCTTGAAACACTGTGCCATGGACCATGCTAAAGTATCCATCAATTGAAGTATTTCTCAGAGGAGAAAATATAAGGCTACGAATAGCTTAATTTTGGCCATTGAGCCTGGATCCTCACCAATCTCTCACATACACAAACACAGCAGTGGCATGAAAACTATTCCATTTATTTCTGCACTTTATGAATTTTTGTTTAGACTACCCTGCAGCTCAGATTTTGGGTTCTTACTCTAGTTGTTACAACCTGCTTTTTGCCCTCTGCATGTCTGTCAAACTTTTAAGACTAGTTTGACTTATTGGGATTTAGAATCTACTATGTTATAAACTCATGATTCCTCTTACTTTGTCATTCTGTAAATATTACACATGGAATAGCTTTGTTTAGCTTTGGATCTGCAAGCCTTCAATCAGCCAGTCCTTTAGTTAGCTTCTCATGAAGAAAGATGAGATTGTACAGTTTAGTTACTACAGTTGCATTATACTCTCCTTAATTTCCATCCTTCCTTCAACCTCCACTGGGACCGGGAATATACAAAAGAAGAAATCCTCACAGACCTCTGATACCTGTATTTTGCTCCCTCTAACAGGGTAGATTTACTTTATATCCATGAAAAACAATGAACAATTTGAGATATTTATGTGCTATCAAACCCAAGTAGTGAAGTAAGTTTAGATTTAGACACCAGCAAGCAAACAAAAGAGAAAAAAGGATTGTTAACTCCAGATTCAGATGATGAAATGTCTATCAGGGCATGAATCTCAGCTTAAATAGGATTCAATTAATGGAGTGAAAAAAAGAAGACAGGCATAGCAAGTCAAACTTTCTCATGGCTTCAGGGTTTGTTTTATGTACATTTCCAGAACATTGTCAGTGAATGAAAATGCTGTCACTTTCAGGACAGATAGAGAGAAACACCCTCTAGGAATGATAGCAAATGCTTTAGATATTATCTTCAAAATCCTCCTCTTTCCTTTTCTTCCTGTGCCTTGTTTTTCTCTCCTTATTTTCTTATCAAAACAGGTTAAATATGGAAGTAATGAAGGACACAGGAAATAGAAGAGGCTGGAAAGAGAATGGTATGTGCCATTATCACCTGGGTCTGGGAATCCAGAGTCAACATTTCAAGCAGATTCTCATGGAGATAAAAGCCTGGAAAGGCAGGGCACAGTTCAGTAATGTGTGCCTCCTCATTATGGTAAAGATTGTGGCACTTTTCTTGTAGGTGATGTTTAGCAATTACAAAGGTTTTACAGAGGTAGTGATATGACCGGATTAGTTAGATGTTTTTGGCAAGGATCTGGAGAATCAGTGGTAAAGAAACACAGGTAGGAGCTTTCAAAGAAATAGATTAAAGATTGTAGAAGGGATAAGGATGTACAATTTTTGTATGAAAGTAAATTAGAATTCCATTATTAATTCTCTTTCTGAGAAGAGAAATATGGGTACAGATGGAGTTCCATTTTCAACTTCATCATGTCCTAGATACCAAGAATTTCACTGAAAATAACTAAAGCTATTGGAAAACGTCAATTAAATGAGTTGTTATGAGGTGGTAACTGTATGTAAGGACAAAGTAGGTAGAAATGGGAGCTGAGGAGAAGAGACTAGCACTGAAGAGGGGGTCTGCCCTGTGGCCTTGTCAAACTGGGTGACTTTGAGGATGTGTTTTCTTAGTGGTTTAAGGCTTAAGGAGGAATGAAAATCAATGCCCACTAAAACCAAGTGGAGGATTTTGAATATGAAACCTCTATAAACCTTTTAGACTTCACAGGATTCCAGATCTCAGACTAATCATTCTTTTTTTTTTTTTTTTTTAATGTATTTTAGTACCGGATCTACAGGATCTAAAGGGTCTCACCAGGTAGATCTGACCCGTAGTGATTCTCCTGTTTACAGCATCCCAGGCACTGGGATTACAGGTGAGGGACACCGTGCCCAGTCTCAATCACCGTCTCAGCGTGCCCCGGCGGTGGGGCTGGCATGGCACCCCAGGGATTGAACCCCAGCCGCTGTGCTCTGCCTATGTAGGCGCTTTAGTCTGCTGAACTATCTTGCCAGCCCTTAGCCATTCATTTTAAACATAAGTAAACTCATATTTTCTCCTACTCCACTCCAGTACTATGTTCAAGTTTGAATTTGAACAAAGAAAGCAACATTTTTTGAGGCTACAAACACATTTTGAAGCAGATATTATTGAAAATTCTAACTTACTGAGTAACACAACCCAAATTCCTTAAATTAATAAGCTAAAGTGATCCATCATTATTGGACCCCCCATCATCAGCTGAAATCCTTTATGATGCCAGATTTTTTTCTAAAACTGTACCTTTACATCATCTCTAAGAATTTAAAATTTAAAAATTAAAGCACCATGAAAGAATGATCATTTCATAATAAAAATGTACCCAAGATGAAATGAAATAAGGCACTTAGAACCAGAAGAGATAATAGAAAATAGATGACAACATTTAATATGTCAGAACTCACAGATTCAAAAATATAAAATGTGTCCAGAAATAATTCCAGAAGTAAAAAGGGGTCAGATAGTAGGACTAAGGAAAAGGTAGATTTGAAAAAATTAGAAATTTTATCTAAACAAATGTAATAACTAAGATTTAAAAAATATTAACAGGCTTGTTTTATAAGAGCTGAATCATTCTGGGACAACATGGCTGGTGAGAGGGGTCTGAGTTTGAATCTTTCCTCCATGGGTGGGGGAGTCCAAGGGACCCTGAGTCCCACCAGTAGAAGGAAGATCCAAACTTGGCTAAGGTGCAGGACATTGGCTAAGGCACACCAAATAGACAGGCAGGACTAGAAGCATGGAAGTGTCTCATGTAACAGGAATAATACAAGACAACAGCTGGTAAGTGAGGAGAGCCAGTGTTGTGCTTGTGGACAAAGACATGAGGAATAGAAGTGGGTATACAGGGCACCCCCTTTTCTTTTCGATATTCTGTTCTTTTGCTGAATTTCTGGGATCTTTATTATTACGTGTCTGTTTACGTGTAGATTTATTTTGATTATGGTTATTTGGAATTCTATACACCTCACTTGCCTGTGATGTCAAGATTGTTTTTTTTTTTTTTCAATGCTTGAGAAATTTTCTGTTACTACTTCAGCAAATGGTTTATTTATGTCATTTATTCTGACACCTGCTGTTTCATTAACACCTATTAAGTCATTGTTTTTCTTTTTGTCATTTTGTAGCTCCTGAATTGTTATTTCCTGGTTCCTAGTTAGTTTTAAGAGTTCTTCCCTTTCACATTCATTAGCTGCACCACTGTCTTCAAGGCCTAAAAGTCTATAGTTTTCCTAGTTTTTGATAGAATTCTTAATTTCCTGGATATCTGTTTGAATCTGTTTCATGAATTCATAATTCTTTTCCGTACTGTTCATTGAATATCTCCATAATTTTTCTATTCTCTATTCTTTTCTAATCTATGTCTTCTTCAACTGTACTGAGCAATTCTTTCATAATTGTTGTCATTTCTTTTTTGACAACTGATGGACTTGTTTCTTTACTTCAGTTGCTATTATTTTAGAAATTTCATGTGTATTATTTCTACATTCTTCTATTTCCTATGTTCTTGTCTCCTGGACTTGTTCTGGGTGAGCGGGAAGACTCAGATTGCCTTTTGTCCCTTTGTTTTGAATTTTTGAAGCTCTCAGTGATTTCTTGGACTCAACAGTGGTGGGAAAGAGGTGGAGCGTGTGTCAGGAAGGTTCCTGCTACAGTAGAGGAGGCTAGGTAGGATTCACCATGGTTCTCATTGCTGGTGGTGGGGACTGGCCTGTGCTCAGCAAAGCTTCTGTGCTGGTGGTGGGCATGGGATGGATTCATCAGGATTTTGCAGCCACCTGGAATCCACCTGAATTCTTAAAAGTTGGGACCATGTACCAGCACAACCACTGTACCTCCATGCTGGTGGCCCATGGGGAATAGCTCCCCAGAAACTTACCAAGACCTCACAGGTGCCCAGTGTCCACCTCAGTTCTCAAATAATTGAACCTGGCACCAGTACAACCACTGCACCTCTGTGCTGGTGGCCCATCTCCTTCTCTTTTCATGTTTTTTTTTTCTCTTCTTTGTTTTCTAAACAACTATGGAGAACTCCACTCACAGACAACTAATCTCATCTCTCAAATCCAGAGACAAAGATCTGACTGAAATCCAGCAAAAATCTACCTGCAGTCCTGGGCAGAGTACACATTTCTGGGATCCAACTTGGACCTACCATAGAATTATAGGTGCTGGAGAAATGTCATTACTTTCATTTTTCTCTGTCTGATTGGTTTTCTTCTTGGTAAACTGGGCTAGTAAACTGGACTAGTGTTTATTTATTTATTTTTTGTTTTCCCTTTCTTTTCTCCTTTTTTTCTGTTTTGTTTTGTCCTGTTTTGATCTTCTTTCTGTCTGTTGTTGTTTTGGGTGTGTGAGGCTATTTTTGTTAATGGAGTTATTTTTCTTTATTTTTCATTTCTTCCTTCTTTTTTTCCTCATTCACAATTTAGATCTCTCACTTTTCTTTTTGTTTCATTCTACTATCCTATTTCTCCTTTTAGTCAGCTGTCTAGTTTGAATTTATGATACTTTCATGTAAGTAAACATCATCTCTTCTCTTTATGGTTCACTTCAAAACTCCAATCCTTCCCACCTGTGTCCCACAGTTTCCTAAAATCTGAGTGATCATCTTGTATTCTTTAACCTTACTCTACTGTATTTAACCTCATTCATTTCTCCATCTTACCAACTATCCTCTTGAATCCCCTCAAAGCAGTTAAAATCATTCTAAGTGGAAAATCATTGCATACAAATTCCTGTTTTAAGTTGGATTATATATATATATATATTTCTGCAGATCTTCCTCCTATAGATGTCAGTCTAATAGTT